CAAGTCCAAAACAGAATATTATTGGGAGTGTTTAAATCTATACATTGCAGAACACGGCACTCTGAGTATAGGCCATTTAGATTTTCAGATACACTACTGTCGCAAGTCAATTTTTACGTCCATCATCTAACAATATTGTTTTTAGTCTTAGCGGTTAAACTATAACTTAACATATTATGACTCTAGGAGGGTCGAGACTTGAAAAAAGTTCAAAATTAGGCTTTGAAATTTACAGAAGTAATAAAAAAATTGTATACTTTAATCGTGCCTATACCTAATATTCTCTCAGGGCTCGGCATTAATATATTATTAAACAATATTATTCTATAATAGTGTGCAGTCACCGATGTATTTGCTACAAAATTGTGTGGTTATATAGTTATATTATACTACTACACTATAGTGTAGTAAATAATATAATATGTATACAGCCGTGTAGGTACATAACTAAGGTTCTCACATAAAGGTAAATTACGGAGGAAAAAAAAATGTATCGCTTCCCTCTTACCTACCTATGTTTATTGTTTTATATTTTAAAAACTTACCCTACAAATGAAGTACTACAAGAATAGTTTATGCTTTGCAGAGGTCGCTGTGGGTATTTCTTAAAAAACAAAAATCATGAACATTTTAGGTTTGTTAGTTAGGTACACATGAATTTACTAGACCAATTTGAATTAGTCAATGCCAAAAAAGTTGTCAAAGTAAGTACCTAAATAGTAAGCCACATGTGACATGCCACTTAGTACCATGCTGATATAGTGATATATACGTGATCCAAGTGATATGCATTTCCAATAACATTAAGACGTAACAATTAATGCTGAATACGGTTGAATGCTTTTAATAATTATATGTCCAACAATTTTTATTTGTAGTATTTTTTGTTTGAAAGACAGTTTCCAAAACGTACGTAAATTAATATCAGTTGTAAATTTTTTCAAACTTATAAGCCATATAACAGTTAAAAATTGGATTTACTTGTTAAAATCTGTATATATTTTAATATTTTATGTTTAAGGTAGTAGGTACATTAGTTACATGATACAGACACATAAATAATGGATAAATTATTTAAAAAATTGTATGTTCAACATTTACTATATTTTGTTTAGGATTTTGTGTGCTCGATGTTTCCAAGACAATAATGTATGACTATCAGTATAACATGACACAGAGACACTATATGGGGACAAGATTAAGTTTATTGTATACTGAATCAGTATTTTTAAGCTGACAGAACATTTAATGTGGAATTCACTTTTATTAGTAATTATCGCCTATATTAGCTATTGAAACAAAAACAATTCCTATCATAAACAGCAAGGGTTGAACTTCTTTCTAGAAACCAATTCATTTGTCAGTTCTTCGTAATTGAAAATAATCAAAATACATATATTATTGTAAAATCAATACATTCATCGCTATGCCCAGAATCTAAAATATGGTTAACATTAATTAAAGTATTTTAAAATTCTGTACTAAATGTAGGTAGGTACTATTCAGTATATAATAAAAGAATCCTTAATATAAATGTACATAAAAACCAGGAGCTGACTGGCCCACTGTGTTGCAATGCAAAGTCACAGTGACCTGATCTGATGCCTTCTTATGTCCCCACTCCCCGGGGCTTTGCAAAAAAATAATCCACCTGTCATGGGAGTGTGCACGAGTGCAGCGAATGAAGATTTCAATGTACAGGAAATTTATTTTGGATTTAGGGGTCTGGTGGATATTTATTTGAAAGTTCAAAATATACACAAAATAAATAATTGATTTTTAAATATTTTATGTAATTCAAAAAGAAAAATGCTATTTTATCGATACACGAAGTTTAAAAATAGAAGCGTTTTACATTGACGGGGAAAGGAAACCCCTAAATAAGTTGTCCCAAAAAAGTAACTCAATGGAACCATGGCCGAATAAACATTGTTGAAAAATCGTATATGACTGCGCTATCTATCTAGGAAACTGAAGAGCCGTGACGGCCAGTTTCTTACATACGTATTAGGGGTTAATATAATACGGCGGCAGTAGATGGCGCTGCTGTTATCGAATTAGTTTAGATCTAAATAATAATACAAGCCTACGCCGTTGGCAGCGTTAGGGTAGATTCAACCACACTAAACCCAACTAAACCTCACCAAACCCAACTAAACCTCACCAAACCTATCTAAACCTCACGAAACCCATCTAAACCTCACTAAACCCAACTAAAAACCTGTGGCGTGGGTAGTTGGATCGCAGCTTGTGACTTTACAGTCACTAAATAAAAGTATAATCATTGAGTATAGATAGTATAGAGAAACAGAGCTCGATATTTTATGCTACGCTAGATTAGTTCAATATCGCTGGCAATAGAGCGCGCTACCAGTAATTAACAATATTACTTTATTTTTTAATAGGTGCAGTAAAATAATAATAATAATAAAATTACTTTTATAACATTATTGTTTTACGTAATAATTTATTTGACGAGCTAGACGCACCCACGGACCAAGATATACCTTTATAAGATACCTTTATATCTTGGTCCGTGGACGCACCTGCTCATCACTTGACGTTGCCAAATCGAACGATGACATGTTGCCATTTACAGCCGTCTTAACGCCATAAAATACATAACCAAATAAATTAAATTTTTAGTGATTGTTTGATGATAATATTGTTTTTAGGTGTATATTTTATTATTTATAAATATATTGTTTGGATGGGTGACCATCTAAACATTTTTCTGACATTGTAGAAAATCGGCTTTTTGTCAATACAAATTTTTCAAAATTAATGTTCGTATTTCATTTTAACTACTAATTAAGAACACATTTTTTTTGGATGGGTGACCGTCACAAAGACTTAAAATCGACATTATTTAAAACATTTTATTTTAATGATTATCTTATAAAAATTATGAGGCTTTGAGTGTAAGTAACATTATGTAATAATACAGTGTACTTTTTCGTGGATGGGTGCCCGCTTTCAAAAATATTTTTACGATTTTCAAGAACCTGTTTTGTGGAAAACAGTTAATT